ATTTTAAATCGTAGTAGAGTTTGTATTAAACACATTGTAAAAAGGCAAAGAAAATTCAGTTTTCTGTGATAAAATTATCATTATTAATGTGGACTTTTGCAGCCTCTGACTTAGACTTGAGCAAAAAGCATAAAAGCCAGTAGCTCTTTTACTGTGAAGGTGTTGAGCTCAAGCTGGGACTGATTGCATTGATTTTTCCATATGAAGGATTTGCTGTGTCTATAAATGGCCTTGAGTAGGTGCCTTTGCTTTTTCCTTTGTATTTGTTTGAAGCAATGTGGTTTCAGATTTTGAGGACTTCACTATTACAGATACTATTACAGCCCTTGCTATACTGCAATTACAGCTACTTAAACTGGATGGACATCCACACAACATATAGGTGTTGCAATTCATGGTGAAGCGTTCGAGTCAATTTATTTCTCCACATTGCAAGCAATCCTGGACTGCTTGCTTTTTTAGGCAAAAATTCAGCTCCATTCTGCACAGTATTACCGGGGTGTTGCTTGTGTTGCGGTCAGTATTGCGCTACATTTTCATGTAGCCAGGTGCTGAAAGTCACACCTTGACTCTACTGGCAGAGAAAAGAAGCCTATCTGTCCATCTGTTAGCTTTTGAGCTGCCTCTGTCCCAGATTTCACCTCAGCCCACAGATCAAAGAGGTTCTGTAAATAAGCTCCTTAATACTCTTATCATTGGGACACTGATACGTATGGATGGAGGTTTACCATTATATGGTTTAGAAAGCATCCTTTCTATATGGACAGGGTGGGTAATATGAGAAAAATAAAACATCACAGCACTTGAAGACATTTTCCTGTTGCACAAATGCATGAGATGTTGTTTTTCTGAGATTCATGAACAAGCTGGAATGGACTAAATATACCGGTAAAACAGCGCCACATTTACAAAAAGCTATGAATTTTTAAAAACTAAAACTTAAACAAAATAGTATGTAGAAATAAAGGAATAAAAATGTGTCTGTGTATGTAAAAATAAATAATAAAATAAATAAAAAAAAAACAAAAAAAAACTATTTAGTAAGATTCAGACAAAAAAAACAAACCGTTGGTAAAAATGAATAAAAAAAAAAAAATACATGATGTCATAATGGGCTGACATCCAATCAGCTACTTGAAACTACTCAGTTACTGTACACTGATTGTTTACAGGCTCTATAATTGCTCCAAATCTCTCATCACATATTTCTATTTTAACTTTAATGATGTAGTCGTTCAGTGTTATAGAATTACTGATGATACCCACTGTATACTCAGAAAAGTAAATTCTGATATAATTTATCACGATAACAATAATGTCATTGTTTTGTTAATCTCCATATAAAGGCTAAAAATTACTCCATACAACAGATCTCTAACCTTTACTGTAATTAAGTCAGTCACTACTTTTCAAAAGAGACATTTGAAGAGATGGCAAATTGTAAAGAAAACAAGCACAGAAGAGAAACAGTGCATGAGAATAGGGAGCGAATCACAAGTGTTGTCAGAATCCCGCTGGCGATTATCACCCGTGCGCCTTTCTGATTGGAATTCCGCGATCTCGTCCTCACAGCTCGCGGAAAAAATATCACACGTCCAGAACACATTCATATTTCAGCGCTCATAATGTCGAGCCAAGAGTCACCCAGCCCGCAAATTGCCCGTGGAAAACGCTTGTTTGCTTGACTATTATGCATGCCACATCCCATTCAGACCTTTTGGTGTTGGCCATCTCCTCTGCATGCGCAATTTTTTTTCCCGAACAGGAGACGCTGACATTTCCAATAGCCGCGTCTGCAGCCGGTCACAAGGCATGAAATCCTCCCCGAAATATTTTCATCAGAGAATCCAGGCCCGCAGCTCCCCGCGTCCGCGGACATTATGCCGTTCTTGATGTTTTATCATTAGTTGGGAAGTGTTTGGGCCCCTACTGAGATCTTTTGATGGAGCGCAGACAATAAAGCGGTGGAGACAGCCAGCCAATTTTGCCCGCTGCGACTCTACCACAGCAAGGGGCCTGCGTATTTGTGGTAGAAAGAAAAAAAAGAGGAAAAGAAAAGAAGATGACAGGCACACTGCAGACAGGCTGCTACTTCCACAGCATAAAGCTTACCTGCTTTTTGAAGCCATCACTGCATTATCTGTGTGATTCTCCGAGCTTTATGAAATGTAATGACGCCAAGTTCATAGCAGTCGTCATCATAATAGTGCGTCAGGCTAACTGTTTATTGGGGGGGGGGCAGTTCAGTCAAATATGACAATGGAATTATTTCAAAAATATTCAAAACATAAAAAAGTCCAAATAGGGCTTGTAAGGATACAGTCTACTGCAGACAGAATATGTTTAAAAACCAAAATAAAATACATAAAAATACATAAATAAAGCACCACTATAATGTATTACACCCAAACCACAAAAATCCATAGTACTGGCTTAAAATTTAAGATAAACAGAAAGCCAAGTGTCTGTTTTTACATCACTATTGTAGTCCCATTGTAACTTATTTCTCTTTTGTGAAGATTTAGCAAGCTGATACGATGATAAATTCACTCGGTGGTGTTAAGTGTAAAATGAGCTTGAGCTTGTTTTTCTGTGTCTTTTTTTGCGACAATTCCTATGTGCTACTGCTACGCTTTGCATCTTGTCTAGTGTGTGGTAGCCTTAAGACAGCTGCAGTAGTCTTCGTTCCTTTCTTTGGGCTAAACAAATAAGAAATTCTAACTAAAACATAAGATGCAGGCTCTGAACTGTCCTCTGGTGGAGCATTAGGTTCAAATTCATTACGGTCCTTAAAGATAAGAATGTATAAATTTTAGAGAAGCTAAACTGTTTATCAAAAGTTCTAATTTACTGTTGCATTTTACAAACTCAGTTACAGAAAAGTTTGGATAGTAGGAGAAAATGTAAATAAAACCAGACAGCAGTGATTTGCAAATCTTTTTGACCTGTATTCAATTGAAAACAGTACAAATACAAGAAACTGAATGTTTTTACTACTTATCCTTAATGTTTTTTATATGTATGCACTTATTCTAAATTTGATGCCTGTATCATGTTCCAAAAAGGTGGGGACAGGGGCATGTTTACCACTGTTTACCACATCGCCTTTCCTTTTAACAACATTCAGTAATCATTTGGGAACTCAGGACTGTTGGAGCTGTATAAGTGAAATTTTTGTCCCATTCTTTCTTGATATAACACAGCTGCTCAACAGTCCTGGTCTCTATTGTCATATATTGTACTTCATAATGCACCACACGTTTTCAAAGGGAGACAGTTCTGGACTACAGCAGGCCAGTCTAGCACCTGCTCTCTCTTACTATGAAGCCATGCTGCTGTGACATAAGCAGAATGTGGCTTGGCATTATCTTGCTAAAACAAGCAGGGATGTCCATTGAAAAAGATGTCATCTAGATGGCAGCATATGTTGCTCCAAAAAGCATATGTACTCGTCTGCATTAATGCTGCCTATACAGATGTGCACATTACCCATGCCACTGGTACTAACACAGCCCCATACCATGACAGACGCTGGCTTTTAACCTTTGCGTTGGCAACAACTGGGATGGTGCTTTCCCTCTTTGGCCTGGAGAACATCCATTTTTTCCTAAAAAACTGTCTGAAAAGTGGACTCAACAGACACATGGATCCACTTTGCATCAGTCCATCTCAGATGAGCTTTAGCCCAGAAGTCGGCAGCGTTTGTGGATGTTGTTGATATATGGCTTGCATTTGTAGATACAGTGACAAACTGTGCTTACTGGCAAGGGTTTTCCAAAGTATTCCCGAGCCCATGTGGTTATATTCACTACCAAAGCTTGTCAGTTTTTAATGTAGTGCCATCTGAGGGATTGAAAGTCATTGGCATTCGATATTAGCTTTCAGCCTTGCCCTTTACGCAAAGAAATCTCTCTGGAGTGTTTGAATGTTTCAATAATGTTACAGACTGTAAATGGTAAAATCCCTAAATTCCTTGCAGTGCTGAAAAACATTGTTCTTAAACTGTTGTACTGTGTATTCACACAGTTTTTCACAAAGTGGAGACTGAGCCTTTCGTACATGCTCCTTTTATACTCAATCATGACAGCATCACTTGTTACCTATTCATCTGTGGAAAGTTCCAAAACGGGTGTTGTTGATCATTCCACAAACTTATAATGCTCCCATTACAATGCTTTTTTTTGGAATTTGTTACAGGCATCAAGTTTGGAATCAGCATATATTTACAGAAATCAATAAAGATGATTAGGTAAAATAGTAAATCTCTCTTCTTTGTGCTGCTTTCATTTACATACATGTGAAAGACATCTGACACTATTTCATCACTTTGTTTTTATTTGCATTTTACTTATTGTCCCATTTGTTTTTAGAACTGGATTTGTTTTAGACTTTCATGACTATTCAAAAAATTCTTGCTCTCTACTTTGTTGCTGGTTTTGCCTTATGAACTGGAATACTTTTCCACAGGAAATATTAGATGAATGGTCTTTGGACCTTGTAAGGCCTTCTGCTTAGGTGTGCTCATTATCATAATATTTTTTGACGTTCCACTGCAGGTCATGTATTGCCTTTGTAACTCTCTGGACAAACGTAACCTATCTTTTTGTCTTCATAATTAGGCAAACATGTCATTCTCACCATAATTTGCTTTTCTTCTTAGGTTCTTAGGTTATTTACATGAAAATAGACAAAACATCTCTTACAGGTCAGCTCGCCTTCAGGTTGTCCAATTAAGATAATAATGCAATAACGCAGAAGGCACTGGTTCACTATAGAATTGGCACATTGTGACATTACTTTGAAACAAGCAAATTAAGAAGCTTTTCTTGTTTGTTTCAAGTAAGCAAATAGGCCTTTTTTTCCAGAGGTGAGGCACAGTTCTGTCAAATTTCTCTTGTTATTATACTAACATTCAGTCCTTTCAGAATGCCTTTTTGTTATTTCCCTTTTTTCATTTTCTGCTTCTTGTGTGTGTGTGTTTCATTTTGTTTCCCATCTAGATGTTCTCGCCACAACCCCCCCACCCACTACTACCACCATCAACCCTGATGCTGCCCAAGGTACCGTACGCCATCTTGGCTTCAGGGTGCTGCCTCCATCTCACCTGTTTGCCTTTTCTTTTTTTGTCTCTTTGTGCCTCCTGTACTCTGTTTTGCCTGTATGTGTAAGTGTGTGTCTGTACGAGTGAGAGAGAGAGAGATGCATGTTTATGGAGTATAAGCTGTAACAGACAGCAGGAGAAGGTGAAGGATCAGGGGCTTGTGCAGGGCGAGCAGGCCGCTGTAATAAGATCACCCCGCTGATAACGCACTCAGTGGCCATGCGGCTGTAGCACTTGTTAGGTTGTGCTTGTCAAATCCTTTTCCTGTCACCCGTTTGATCTCCAGCACTGGAAATTCATTTTGCAGAGAGAATCCTTTCCCGATCTGCTGCTGTAGCTCAAGCTTGCCATTCCTCAGATCACCATTACGTTATTAGCTCAGTGCACGACAGCAGCACAAACGAAACGACATTCAGAATGTTTTGTTTATATTTCAAACTTGTTTAAGTTGACTGTTTTGAATAGCCATTTTATTATGCAACACAAATACACCATTTCAAGCATCACAACACATTTTTAACACATTAGTCCCATTTGACCCTGAAGAAGACTATAGTTATTGTTATCTTACTGTTAATTTGACCAAATGACCAAGACCAAATATGTCACATCTATCCACTCTTCTGAGCACCCTGCTGACCTTTGAACTCTTCCATCCTTCCAATCTGAGGTGTGGAGTAAGGTTTTAAGGTTTTATTTTTATTCTATTTGAAAGCATTTAGATTGTAAGAAGCTGAAAATGCAACCAACTTCTCAGACTGAACTTTGTAGGTGTGGAAAAATATCCATGGAGATTTCTTTTACAAAACTGAAAGCTAGCCTTCTGAAAAGAACGCAAGATATAATTAAGGCAAAATGTGAACACCCAAATATACAGAAAGATTTCATATATTTTTTAAGCTTCTCTGTAACTTTGGTTTATTATATGTTTTCTGTTTTTGTCCTGATGGTGAGAAACCATAAGGACAAAATAACCTACCTACAATAAAAAAGATTTAATGGCAATTTTAACTGGAAATTAAATAAATCAAATGATGGTCTCTGACTTTTGCACAGTACTGCAGTTACATAATGAATTATGTTTACATTTATTATAGTTTGCACTTCATTCTGTTCATTTCAATGTCGGTTACAAAAAAATGACAAAAGGGTGGATTCATGTTTTTTCATTCCACAAATCAAGACAATAACTTTAAATCAAAATCATATTAATGTATCTCCTCTCCTGCTAACGAATTTCTCCACTTTTTCCAATGAGCTACAAGTGAGATATACTGAATATAAAACGACACAATGCTTTTATTATTGCCAGCAATAACTGAGTTCCAAGGGTTAAATCTAGGTTTACAGACACACACTGCATGAATAGATTTACTGCCTTGCTATCTAAAGCTGAGAGGGAAGATCTGAACTTAAAATGGACTGAAAGGGTCAACACTTCGCAAGAAGGGAAAAAAAATAAAAGGAAAAAAAAATCAGTGCTGTATACTTCAATGCCATATGTAGGCACCTTCAGGTCTGATTCATGCTCCTCCACATAAAGAAGGTAGCTTAGTACCGGGAATGCCAGCCAAATAAATCAATGTTAGGAGGTCCAGGGAACCTAGAACCGTAATGCATTTTTGATGAACTGGCAAAGAGTGATAAAGGATAGGGAGCACTCCACTTTAAAAAAATCAATTAAGCCATAATGTCTTGCTGAAGTGCTCGGTAGCTTTAGGCGGTGACATTTCGAGATGATTGCCATTTATAATACAAAATAAATGGCTAAATGGAAGTGCTCTGCACACCAATAGTTGCAACTTCTGACAGGTGCCTGTGCTTTTTCTCTATCAAACGCGTCTTATAATTGATATGCTGGGTAAGTAGAAGCAGGGTATGGCATTAGCCTTTGCAGAACCGCAAAAGAACTTTCAAGGTTCAAGCTCTGTGTGATCATAAGCCTGAACTAAGTCGATGTATATTCCATCTGTAAAGAATATCTCCTCTTTTTCCTATCTGTAGAACCTCTGTGAATACAGAAGGAAGCTACAAGAGGGCGTATTATCAGAGTCAGTCTTAGCCTCGGATTGGCATTCAAGCAGTACTAGATTTCAAACACACGGAAGCTAATCCAGTCAAACCGTGGGCAGTGAAGAGCTCAGGGTGTTGCAGGGCAGTTTGAACCAGCCTAAATGTTATCAACCATGAAAGTTCATTCTATCTGCTCATTGATAAGGACACGTAATGTTCAACGTAGCTTGGGTTTAACTACAGGCCAGGTGGATCTCGGTCAAAACCGTTTAGAGCAAACAAAGCAACAGTGAAAGAGAATACTTTATATGGATGTGAAGGCTTTTTTACGGATGTTCTTGTCAAAATGCAAAATGAGATGGAGATTTATGCAGGATAAAGGTGGGTATGGGACATGGTGTTGTATTATATAAGCATAGGTTGCTATAATGTGGGTCTGTTTTGGAAACTGTAGGCGGATGTCAGGTTTTAAAAAATGTTGTGGCAGAAAATGCATCTATATTAAATGGTTGAATAAAATAAACCACCTACTGACTAACATCATTAGCTAACCTTTTTTTTTTTTTGGGCTTGGGACAGCATGGAAAATGAAACTCCGTAGTCCATCTAGCAGGCCTGTATTATCTCTATTACCAGAGGAATACACCTTATAGACTTTAGACTTGGGTCTAATCCCCCCTCGACAGATGAATGGTGCTGAACTGTGTCTTATGTTCGCTTTTTGACATCAACAGTGTTTTCCCATATAATGAGTTCCTCTCCAGATATTTTTCAGGGCTTTTTCCAATATGTGCCAGCTCAGGCTTGGACGCCCTTAGGTAAAGCACGGTGAGGTAGCCTCATATATCTGTCTGATGAGGGGGCATTTATGCTGTTGTGTGTGGGGATGATGGAGTTGCCGCTGGGCGAATGACACACACAAGACAAGGTGGCTCATTATTCTTACAATGGGCTCTCCACTCTCGGCTGTGGTTTAATTTTTCATCAAGAACGCCTCCGCAGCCCACTCCCACAGCCACGCCTTTTGATGACAAGACGACTTTAGACATTTTCTTCACTCTTTGAGGCATGAGGTGATTTGAACCACATGTATCGTTAACACGATTTGCTTGAAGTTTCACTGCTGAAACTTAAAGTACAAATTAAGTTCAAGTTTGGTCAGAGTTTCAGATGAATACCTGACTTAAGTTGCTTATTAGTAGGCATCGTTTTCCCAGTATGATGGCAAATTCGAGCATCTACACGTTTCAATGCCTGCATTTTCAGAAGACACATCCCACATCTCATATACTGATCACAAGCGTCTTTATTTACTCATTGCATATTTGTTCATCTAATTCTTGCACTTGCAGTGGTTTGTCCCCAGCCTTTGAGCCACCTCTGGTCTTGTGGTTTGGGGCCTGGCGAGAGCCCTAGGAACGTGTACTGATCAGATGTGCAAATCTGTGGAGGAGGTTTTGGTGAACCATAATAATTAAAAAGATATTCTGTGCACACTAATTTCAAATGATAAAGACTATCCATGTTTATTTTGAAGAAAACAATATCACATGTAAACATGACTGACAATACTTGTGGCAGTGCTATATAAGCGCACTTTATCCCTTTGTTGTGATGTCACTCATCAGCACTCAAGACACTGGGCCTTCGATATGTGCTTTTAACAATAGTTTAAAAAAGAAAAGTGTCAAATCATTATTTAGGCAAAACCGTCACACAAAGAAAGACTGATGAATGCGAAGCTCAGTGTTGCAAAATATACATGAAGTATCACAAAATAGCTGGTTAATGGGGTGTAATGATACACTCAGCCCATGATTTGATTTGATTCATGGTTCATGATTCGATATTCTCATGATATTTTAAGGCAAAATTCAAGTGAAGAAAAATAATGACTATAGTCATGTTGTTGCACAATTTACTAACAACACTAGAGCTGTGAGGCAGGAGGAGTGCAGAGATGAGCTGCTGATTGGTGCTGATTATTTGCCAGCTTTAATGTTCAAACAATGCAGCTGCATTATATGGCATAATTAGTAACGCCTATTCTTCACAATGCACATTATCACTGTTTTGCATTGTGTTATCACAATGTCACAAAGCACTGTGACACTCCTACTATGTGTTTAACAAAACCAATGCTGTAGAGATCCAACTTCTTTCCCAATAACATGTGAATTTAGTATATTGGCCGACACCAGCTAACAATCAGATGTCTCATATCTGTCATGTTAAATCCCTCATGCCTCATTGTAGCAAAGTATATAAACATATAACAGAGGCAAACTTGGCATACTGGAGACCACCTGTACCCCAGCATATTTTTAAATTACAGAAGGTTTTTAAAACTGCACTGTTACAATTGAAATGCAGAGAAAGGTCAGAGAGAAAAAAATGCAGGTACGTTTTTGGCACACAGCCTTCCACAACACACTGAGGAAGAGCATGTGCCGAAGCAATTCTGAAAGATAGCAGTGAAAAACTTTCAATAGAAAACAAGATCTCGCCATTCTTTTGACGGGTGTGAAGTGATTAAATAACCCTATATTTAAAACGTGAACTCAGTACATTCTGGAAACCATAACAGCTAGAAGCCATAAGCGTGAGAGACCTGTTATGTCTATAGTCCAGATGGCCCTGTGGCTCTCCATAACGGCCCCCTTCTAGCTTTTCCATCTTTGCTTCCTGTGCCATAGCCCGTTATGGCCTTTCTTTCTCTTGGCTGGTGTGGTCTGTTGCAGCACTGAGCTTTTGCCCGATTCTGCGGATGGCACCTGTCCCATTCAGACCTTCATTCTTCCTCTTCTGCATGCTGCCTCTGCCCTCCATCCTGCTCCTAGCCTCTCTCTCTGTCTTCTCTTTCTGCTCCTCCACTCCTATCTCGACCCGTTTGGCCCCCCCCCGCCGATCCTGCTCTTTCATGTCCGGTCCCTCTGCCTGCTTTAA